GCCTAAAAGTTACATAATGAAAGAATTACATTGACTATTTATACTAAGTGTACAAACCGCCTAGCCAAGATTCTCTCCCGAGATTTTTCGGAAATTTTCCTTTTCTTTTGTGCGGCTGAAGACTTCAATCTCTCTTAGGGTAAAATCTCTTGGACTCATCTATCGGGCCTTCACGATTATCCGGTTCGGCCAGTTAATGCTTTATACTCTTTGGCTCTCAGTCTCTTCCTCCTTCGGCCCAATGCACTTCGTTTACGGGATTGCTCCTCGACTCAAGTATGCGAGAAGTCGTCCGAACCGAGACCGGCTCGGTTTGGTTTGTCACCTTCCTTGGTTCCACTCGGTCAAACTGAGAGACCCTTTGATTCGGCTCGAATTGGCCGAACCAGCATTTGGTTCGGCTCGGTCTGAGATGATCTCTGGTTCAGCTCGGTCCGAGACGATGTCTGGTTTGGCTTGGTTTGAGATGGTATCCGGTTCGGCTTGGTTTGAGATGATGTCTGGTTTGGCTCGGTTTTATTGTGTCGATTGTGTTTTGGTCCGATTCTTCCTCCAATAAACCATAGAATTGGGTCTGTCGAAACCCAATTTTGACACTTAAATATTTTTAGGCGGTTAAATTCGTGGGGGTGAAAACCGACCCGAACAGTTTGCCCCCAGCTCGTCAGTTTCGCATACAAAGATGCCGAGCTGAAATTAGCAAAACCGAGGTTAACTGTTGGATCACGCGATAAATCCCCTTATTGAAGTTTTTGGCTCGGCTCGGTTCTTAGTTTCATTCGTTCTTTTTTTTTGTTTTGCTTTTGCTGAGCCAAAAGAGCGCGATTGGGGGACATTTGACGAGCCGAGACAAGATGCGGCCTTTGCTTTTACCGAGCCGAGATTGATCAGGTTGATGCAATGCCACAGAATTGCCGAAATGAATTGCCGAAATGAATCACTGAGGTGAATTACCGAAGCGAATTGCCGAGCCGAAGCGAAAGGGAGCGATGCAACTAAAGTTGCCGAGCCGAGGTAGGAAGAGCGATGCCACTAGAGTTGCCGAGCCGAGGCAAAGCCGAGATTGATGTAGCTAAAGTTGTCGAGCTGGTTTTGGTTCAACGAGCTGTTTTCGACGAACAAAACTGCGACTTATTTTGCCAAAACATTTTTATATGAATAGACAAACTGACGAATTTTATCGAGATGAAGATCTTGCAAAAACTGTTCCAAGCCACTTTCGAATTTTTTTTTTTTTTTTGCGCTCGGGGTTCGGCCTTACGGGTTGCCTTTGCTTCCCTAAGCCCATTATATATCGCGATTTCCCTAGGCAAAGAGGACCCCAGGCCTAGATCTCTATATATACTCGAGCTCCATTCCTTCATTCTCACAATTTCACTTCTCCAAAATTTCCAAAAGGTAGCTCTCTACTCTCTCTTCTCTTCTCTCTCGATTTCTTTTATTTCCCTCTCTTTTTTTTTTGGGCGCTGCACCACCTAGGGTTTTCTCGAGGTGTGGCGGATCGTTTGATGTTTCTGATCTGCTCGAGAGTTTTCCGAACCGTCATCCAACTTCCCGATCCTCCTCCGATATTTCCCAGATCCGTTCCTTTTCTCGGTTTTCGCCTGAGCCGAAAGCGAGATGTCGCAACGAACCGAGCCGAAAACATCCACTGATTCAGCCGATTCTGCGAACTCTGTTACGCACCAAGGTCCGTCGAATTTCGCGCCGAGCCCGATTTTCGGCTTTCCTCGAGATTCCGAAGCAAAGGATCTCTCCGATGACATGAAACCCGAGCCCAAAGACTTCGATTATGATCCTGCCAAGGCCAGACGGGAACTTGAGATTGCAATGGCGAGGCTCGGAATAGGTCTGTCGAAGCCTCGAGGCTCTCGAAGAGGCAAAAATAAGAAGAAGCAGGATCCTCCAGGCTCGTCCCTTTCGACCGAAGAATCGTTGCAAAGGCTGAGGCAACGTTGCAAGATTTCTGAAGCGGTCGAGTTTGTTGCGTCCGAGCCTTTCGACCGAGCCAATGATCTCCCGCCAAACCATTTCACAACTTACAAATGTTTCTTCGAGTTGTGATATTTATGGTTCCCTTTGCCCGAACCGATTCTTCGATACATTTGGTTGTATGGGATCTTGCTTGGACAGATCATGGCGCAGGGCCTTGGGCATCTGATTGGTATTTTGGTCTGCAGTTACGAATGCGGCATCGAAATCAGGGTTGATCATCTTGGCAACTTTTTGGAGATTCGCCGATCCTCCAAACCCGGAAAATACTATATTTCGAATAAGAGGACTTGGAGAATAATCGAGGGTTTTCCGAGCATGGACGATTCTTGGGATGATTATTTCTTCTACATTCCCATGGACGAGGCTACCGTCGGGAATGATTTACTTAATTTAATTAAGACGGATTGGGGACCACTTGATAGTTTGCTCATAGTTCTTGGTTCGCCTGTAACTTATTGTCGATACTAACGTTTATTTTCTGTCTTCTTCTGTTTGCAGTTCGCGATCCGCTTCCCCCGGTTTTTGAAGATATCGCTAAGACCAAGGAGATTCTCGCGGCTAGAAGGTCAATTAGTCAAAGCATTTTTTGTTTGGGAGAGTCGAGAAAGCGAGAGCCTTATTTGCCGGTGCTCCTTTCAGTTCGGATTCGTCTGCTTGTTCCGTTGATACGATTGAAAAGATGGTTCGAGTGTCGATTCACGACAAGAAAGAGAGATCTGAAAGGGAGAAAGCGAGCCCAAGAAGGAGAGACATCGGCTGCTCGTGTCGAGCCGAACGCTGAAGCGATCAGCAACACCGAGGAGACTTCTGTGGCTACCGAGTTAAACCGCGCCTATGTTCTTGTTCCGGAGAAAGTTGCCGAGTTCCATTCCGAAGTCTCCGGAAAGAGCCCCACCGCTTCGACCAAGATCCCTACTGCTGGCAGTAAGGATCGTGTCATTGTCCTCGGTTTGCCGAGCCTGATCGAGGCCCGCTTCTTCTTTACTGAAGAAGCATAAGGGCGGCTCGATCCGGAAGCGTTCCGCTTCGGGCGGAGATAAAAAAATGGGGTTAATGAGCCAAAGAAGAGGCGTACATTTTTGCTTGATGCCGAGTCGACTCCTTTTCTGACTGACGACGCTTCTGCCTCGGCGTCGCTTTTGTCAAAGATTAACAACAAGGGAATTCGGCTGCCGCCCACTGATTCGCTTGTGAAGGCAAAATCTTATCCTAGCATGTCCCAACGGGGAACTAAGGTAAGTTTTCAAAACTCTAGCTTGTTTTTGTTTATTTTTGCAGTTTGTGGTGTTATTTTTGTAGTTTGTGGCTTCCATAAACGAGACGATCGCGAGGTACGAGGTGGATGCTCGCAGGGATCAGCGGCAGATCAACGAGGCGAGGATAGACGCTGTCATGCTTCAGACGAAGCTGGATTAGGCTGAGCGGAAATTCTCCTCTACCATGGCCCATGCGAAGGCTCGAATCAAGGCTCTTGAGGCGGAGAACAAAACGCTGAAGGATGAGTGTGTCAAGGCGACTGATATGACTATTCGGCTCGAGGAATCAAGAAATAGGAAAGATGCTGACATTGCTTCTTTGCAGAGGTAGCTGGCCGAGAAGGATGCTCTTCACAAGGAAAACATAAAAAAGCGGTAAAATCTGCAAGGAGGGACCTGACAGAGAAGGTGCGAGGTCGTTTCGGCAGCGTGGAGAAGAGTCTCAAAGACTTGACCGACGAGAAGGAAAATGAGTTGGATCTTGCGCAGATTGATGGCAACCTACAACTTATCGAGCTTTTCCAGAAGGATGATGCTCCAACTCTCGATGCCGAAGCGGAGAAGCTGAAGCTGCGGCGAGCTGACTTGGTGGGAGCTGACGAGGGGTTTGAGAGAGTCGCTACTTGCCTAAGTGGCGAGCTAACCTTAAGTCTCGTTTCCAAGGATTCGGTTGGTGCTAACCTTGAGAACGAATCGATCGAACCCACTGAACAATTGGTTGGTGTGTCCAAGCCGACGGGTTCCAACATCAGAACATCGCGAGTCACCGAGCTTGTCGAGGATAGGAGGAGTTTTGGCAGGTCTCCGAGAGAGTGACTTCCGCGCTTGCTATCACATGTCGTTTTCCTCTTTTTTTTGTTTTGTTTTTGCTTTAGACTTTGCTGTCTGGATGGCTTTATACACTTATGCTGCTTCTGAACTAAATTTTGTTGGTTTTGTTTCTATTGCCGAGCCGAGGTGCTCGGAATGACTTATGCCTTGATGGCAAATGATATCGGTTGAAGTTTAAGACTTATTGAATTGTTTGATCCTTGCATTTATTTACGATTTTTCGATCGTATAGTTTTTACTCTCAGAACTTGGAGTATAAAAGGCATTGTGAAAACGACTCGGTGTTGATTCTGAGGTGTTGATAACCGATGTGCGAGAGTGTATCGGGTTTAAGTGTTTAGGATTTGCGATGTGTATCGGCTTACTCATCCGTAAACTGTTGAGGGATCAATCCAAAAATTTATATAGCGTGCTGTTATCCTGTGAAGGTTGTCATTGAACCCTAATCCATGTAAATGAAGTGGTTAGAATTCGTCTAGAGAATTTGTTTTAGCTTTTATGATGTGGCCAGCAACAAGATAGGAGATGCGAATGTAAGATACTAAATGCAATAGTTATGAAGAAAATGTGTAAAAAAATCAACTTAAGTTACGAAAGAAATCGGATAAGTAACGAAACACATTTTTTGAAGAACAAACAGAAATCCGAAGAAAAAAATTTCAAAATGATTCTTGTAAATATAAAGGGAAGTATGACGTATACGTACCCACTCCCCCCTTCCCACCCCTTTTTAAGAGGGGGGACAGCTGAACCCATCCGAAGATAGGCTGCATACGTACCCTTTTCAGGGATCAAACCGTCTCGTAGTTCAGGGGTTTCGGGTGATGCCGCCTAATGATAATATTTTTTCAGATGCATCGCGTTCCAAGATCTCGGTATCATGGCTCCTTCCATGTTTTCTAGCTCATAGACTTTGGGTCAGACTACCTTGGTGATTTTATAAGGTCCTTCCCAATTGGCTCCCAGCTTTCCTGCGTTCCTTTCCTCGGTGTTCTGAAAAACTTTCCGCAGTACCAAGTCATTTTCTTTGAACCGTCGACTTCGGACATTCTTGTTATAATATCTCGCCGTTGTCTGCTGATAATTTTGAAGTCTTATCAGTGCTTGATCGCGACGTTTGTTCACTAGGTCCAGCTCGTCTAACATCATTAGATGATTTAAGCCCTCTTGTCCGGGGAGAAGTCTTTGGCGAATTCCTGGGAAATCTACTTCAGGCGGAATAACACACTCTGCTCCGTAAACTAGGGCAAAGGGGGTCTCTCCTGTACCTCTTCTTGGAGGTGTTCGGTGAGACCATAACACTCTCTCTAACTCGTCTGTCCAACGTTCTTTTTTAGCATCGAGCCGTTTCTTCAGCCCATCGAGAATCGTCTTATTAGCTGCTTCAGCTTGACCGTTTCCTTGTGGGTATCTCAGTGTCGACTTGCCCTTTTTTCCATTTCTCACAAAAAGTTTCAAACCGAGCTGAGATGAACTGGGATCCGTTGTCTGTAATAATCTCGTAAGGGAGCCCATGTCGACAGATGATATTCTTCCAGACGAAATGCTCGACTTGGGCGTCTTTGATGCTCGCATACGAATCGGCCTCGACCCACTTAAAAAAATAATCGGTCGGTTAGAACCAATAGAAATAATTTCTGTTTAGACTTGTGCAAAGGTCTAACGATGTCCATTGACCACCTCATAAACGGATAAGGAGCCGAGATTGATGATAACAGCTCGGTAGGCTGATGGATGGTTGGAGCGTGCCTCTGGCATTTTTCACACCTGACAGAGAACTTTTCGCAATCTTTTACCATGGCTGGCCAGTAGTAACCATGTTGTTTTATCTTGATCGCTAAAGATCTTCCGCTCGCATGGTTGCCACACGCGCCACTATGAACTTCTTCCATGATCTTCCTCCCCTCGGCTCCCTCGAGGCATGTCAATAATGGTCTCGAAAACTGCCACTTGAAGACGTTTCCGTCTTGGAGTATATAACGGGCTGCTTGAGCTTTGAGTTTCTGAGCTCCCCACCTGTCTGATGGTACTTCTCCGTCTGTGATGTACGTCTGAATTGCTCCCATCCATTCTTTGTCACTCCCATACTCTGTTGTTTCGCGGGAAGCATCCTCGTCCATGTCGGCTATGCCGTTGTCTTCGTTGATCTCTTGCTGTTCTTCAGGGGGGTTAATCAGGTTGACTCCGTCTACGATGCTGATGCTGGGTTTCTCGATTAATTCCACTCGTATGACTCTCTTTAATCCTGGATCCGAGATTGAAGCAAGGGCAGGTAGGACATCGACGGATGCATTTTTCTCCCGAGGTATTCGTGTAAGCTCGAACTCCTTGAACTGCTTCGTCAACTCTTAAACTACTTTCAGATACACTTCCATTCTGCCATCTCTCGCTTCGTATTCTCCATTTAACTGGTTTGCAACTAGCTGTGAATCGCAGAAGGCACGGATTCTCTGGATTCAGATTCCAAGTGCAAGCCAAAGTCCGGTGATTAATGCCTCGTATTCTGATTTGTTTGTTGGATGCATGAAACGTGAGACAAAATGGCTGTTCGATGATCTCGCCGGTTGGCGATGTAAGTCGTATCCCTACCCCCGAAACCTGCTTCGATGACGAACCATCAACATGCAATCTCCATGTAGACTCGGAGATCGGCTCATCTACTCCTTCAGTTGGAAGTTCGATCTAGAAATCGGGTAACACCTGAGACTTCGCGCACGACCTGTTCCTGTATTTGATGTCGTATTCACTTAGCTCCACCGCCCATTTCGTTAGTCTTCCGGATTGGCTTGGGCTGTGCAGGATGCTTCGTAGTGGCAGAGTAGCGAGGACTACAATCAAGTGCGACTAGAAGTATGGTCTCAGTTTCCGAGTCGACATTACGACAGCAAGGGCAACCTTCTCCATTTGCGGATAACACGTTTCCGCCTTGGTTACACTGCAGCTCACATAGAAGATAGGTTTTTGCTCTCCCCGCTCTTCTCTGACCAGTACTCCACTTACTGCAGTTGCTGATACTGCGATATACAGGAACAGTGGTTCTCCTTCTACTGACTTCTCAAGGACCGGAGGATTCGCTAAGTCGACTTTCAGATCTTGGAATGTCTTTTCGCACCGGTTGTCCTATTCGAATTTCTTATTGCCCCTAAGGGTATCGTAGAAAGGTAGACATTTCTCGGTCGACCGAGAAACAAACTGGTCGACTGGAAACGTCCTGTCAATCCTTGGACTTCTCGTTTCGTTCTTGGAGACGCCATTTCTATCAAAGCATTGATTTTCTTTGAATTTGTTTCGACTCCTCAATGGGTTACGAGATACACAAGGAATTCTCCAGACGTTACCGCGAATTGACGCTTTGCTAGGTTCAACTTCATGTTATGCAAGTCGAGCTGCTCGAAACAGTCTCGAAAATGCTTCACGTGATCCTTCTCCTCGAGCGATTTAACCAGCATGTCATCTATATAAACCTCCATCGTCTTCCCGAGCTAATCAGCAAACATTTTGTTGACGAGCCTCTGGTAAGTTGCGCCCGCGTTATTGAATCCAAAAGGCATCACCTTGTAGTAGTAAATTCCCCGATCTGTTATGAACGCCGTGTTTTCCCTATCGTCCGAGTTCATGAATATCTGGTTGTACCCCGAAAAAGCGTCCATGAATGTGAGCAGTTTATTACCCGCTGTGGCTTCGACTAGTCGTTCGATATGAGGTAGTGAGAAACTATCCTTCGGGCATGCCTTATTGAGGTCGGTAAAATCTATGCACACACGCCATTTACCGTTTTTCTTCTTCACCACTACGGGATTGGCGAGCCAATCTGGGTATTTAGCCTCGGCAATCGAACCCACCTTTAAGAGTCCTTCTACTTTGTCGTTCACTGCCTTGGCTCGTCTATGCATACCGAGATCACCGGATCACAGCTCGGCGCTCTATTCCCCTCAGGCGCCTCGTCGATCTGTAGTTGCTATAAGAGCATGGCGAGCTCGTTCGCAGGTTCTCGGTTCGTCTTTAGCTTTTTCTTGTCCACCACGGGCTTCCTCATCTTATAGCAATACATACGCGACTCCTTTCCCCGTATCGTGTTGATTCCACCAGGAGTCAGGAACTTGACGCATAAATAATTTGTTGACGGAACGGCTCACATCAAGTTCAACTATGGCCATGATTATGTTGTTAATGGCTTTGGGACGGCAGTTACTTCGAAAAAATCGATTTCCATCCTCCTAAGAGTTTTGCAGAAGATAACGTCTACCGAGCTTCCCGTATCAATTAATATTCTGGCGACATCGTGATCCCTAATAGTAAACTCGATCACGAGGGGATCACTATATAGCGTGTCGATTCCCACTGTTTCATCTTTGGAAAACAAGATTGTTGTAGCGGGGTAGCTCGGAGGCTCAGCCCAGTTAACACTTGCATCGGCTCTCTGCTGGAAAGCTTTAATCGACGATACGGTGTCGAGACAGTATTGCGATCCACCCATTATCTTCGAGTTCCTTGCGGTTGTGGTTTCTTCGGGCTCTCCTGCTGTTCGCTTTGCAGCGAGTCTGGTGGACAAGAACTGACAGTTTGCTGTTGAGTGCCCGTAGCATTGGTGGTGTTCGCAGAATGCTTTTTCGTCGTAAGTCCGGGGGTTCCGAGTCCAAGTGTTCCATGGTCCTTTGCCTCGTCCTGCTCCCACTTGATAATTGTGGGCTCCTTGTAGCCTCGGCCCTTCGTGATGCACATAGTCATTGGTTCTCACATTCCTTTGACGTGTCGTCAGAGAATTTTGGATTGCAGCTTTAGTCGACTCGTACTGGTCATCTAGGTTCTTCATTTCTTCTTCATTCACGACAAAGTCGGCAGAGCGATGTAGGACATCTTGGATTGTGAGCGGCATGTTCAATGCCATTTCCCTCCGGAACTTGGACTTATACCACAACGATCTTTTCAGGGCTTCGAGAGTTGCCTTATCACTCACTCCTTCCACCTTCGACACCAGCGCTTTAAACCGATCCATGTAAGCTCTGAGTGGCTCGTTTGGTCCTTGAGATAAAGTCCATAGATCGGCATTAGAGGTTCCTTGGTCCATGAACATGGAGTACTGTTTCAGAAAAACAGCATACAGCTGCTGAAAATTATTAATGGAGTTACGCTCGAGCCTTGAGAACCATTCCAATGCTGTGCCCTTAGGTGTTCGACAAAGAGGAGGCAGAAACCGACATCTCTTTCGCTTCACTGAGATTGGGGGCGTTTCTCGAGAAAGCTCATCCAAATCCGATCTGAAAAGCTGTGATGTGTGCCTTCGGGTCGGTTGTCCCTTTGTAGAAAGGAATTCTTATCTTTCCCGATTCTGGGATCCTAGCTTCGGTGATTCGCGCCGTGAATGGCGTACACTGCGTTTCTTCCAACATACGATCTATCTCCGGTGCCGAACTGATTGCATGATGAACTTGGGATCGGACTGCCTTCATCTCGACGGCTGGCCAATCTATAGTAGCTCATAACTCGTTCATCTCCTTCATCTGATTGTTCTTTCGTGATTCGTCGACTTCATCTGCGGTACTACCACCGTTTAGGGCAGCTCGGAGCGCATTGCCACGTTGATATCCTTTTCGTGCCAAGCTATCATGTTTCATCTGCTCGACCCAGAGCAGATTTTCCTCTTCCTCTGTCAGGTTTTGATTTCTGAGCGAGGCGTCATCCTCTTCGTTCGTCCTTGCTCCTTCCAACGTCTCTTTGAGTTTCGCTATGGTAATTCGTCCTGAAGTGCGGCTCGGTTGAAGGGCGAGCTCTTCTTCCTGGTCATCTTCGTCATCGATAGTGATCGTCTCTTTACCGATATCTCCTGCGGCATCACCATCCTTCTGTTGCTCGTGCTTGTCACTGTTCGCTCTTCCTCTCCGAGCTAGTAGAGGTGGTTCGGTCGGTGTGGACTTCTTCACTGCGGGTGTCACCAAGCCGGACGGATTCTGCTGCGTCCCTCCGAGCCTGTTTGCGGGAGTCGTGAACTTGAGAGCGGTTGGTCGCAGACCGAACTTTCACAAGACGTCTCCGGAAGTTCCCTTCACTCGGAGGCGTCGGTTCCTGATTCAGTTCTCCGTTTTCAGCGCTTCAAGTCTCTCCGCGAATGAGCTGTTCTGCTTTTCCTGCATGTTAAACTTTTCCATCATTGCTGCAAGCATCTTCTTCACCTCGTCCAAGGGTTCGGCTGTCACGCTCGCATCTGTCGCAGGAGGATTCTCCTTGCTTCTGGTAGGATCTCCGCCGTTGTTCTGGTCGTCTCTCCGTTCATCTCCGGACATCTTTTTGTATCTCGTTCAAGAAAGTTTTTCGTGTAAGAAAGCTTTATGTCCGCACAGACGGTGCCAAATTGTGTGAGTCGAAACTCCCACAATCAAAATTTGTTAAGGAAAAAGAGGGATCTAAAGCTTCTAAGTGAAAACCTCAAGAACAAAGATCGAAAAGTAGTTTTATTGCGTAGAGTTTTTGCGATTGCCTAAAAGTTACATAATGAAAGAATTACTTTGACTATTTATACTAAGTCTACAAACCGCCTAGCCGAGATTCTCAGAAATTTTCCTTTTCTTTTGTGCGGCTGATGACTTCAATCTCTCTTAAGGTAAAATCTCTTGGACTCATCTATCGGGCCTTCCCAATTATCCGCTTTGGCCAATTAATGCTTTCTACTCTTTGGTTCTCAGTCTCTTCCTCCTTCGGTCCAATGCACTTCATTTACGGGATTGCTCCTCGGCTCAAGTTTGCGAGAAGTCCTCTGAACTGAGACCGGCTCGGTTTGGTTCGTCGCCTTCCTTGGTTCCACTCGGTCAAACCGAGAGACCCTTTGATTCGGATTGATTTGGTCGAACCAGTACTTTGTTCGGCTCGGTCCGAGATGATGTCTGGTTCGGCTCGGTCTGAGACGATGTCTGGTTTGGCTCGGTTTGAGATGGTGTCCGGTTCAGCTCGGTTTGAGATGATATCTGGGTTGGCTCGGTTTTATTATTTCGGTTGTGTTTTGGTCCGATTGTTCCTCCAATAAACCGTATAATTCGTCTGGTGAAACCCGATTTTGACACTTAGTTATTTTTAGGCGGTTAAACTCGTGAGGATGAAAACCGACTCCAACATTCATCCTGTTTTTAATGATGTACGCTGGATTTGACCACCCAGTGTCTGATCTAAGATTTAATAAGAGCCACGGGAGTGATGTATCAGATTGCCTGATTTGGATTTTATGGACATAACCGTCGTAAGAGAATAAAGCTACATATGGAGGGGACGTGAGCTGCTATGAATTTCAATCAATATTGCATGATCTCTCTCGCTGCAAGAGACGGAAGCTACTCGCCGAGTTAGAGTGATTAGATGATTAAGGTGACGAGAGTTGGGTACTCTTAAAAGTGTCTAATCTAGTTCCAGAGTCAAAGAAAATCCTTAGCTAGATTCCTAATGTTATACATCATGAACCCTAGAGGTAAACCCTAACCCATCGCCTTTTTATTATTGTTTTCAAACCAATTTCTTTCAAAGCTTTTATTTCCTGCTTAGTGATAACACCGTATTTGTACCCATTTTCACCATTGATTTTAAATGTTTTTTTCCAAAGGTTTTTATTAGTTTTATGAACTTTTATTATAGTTTTTCTGTGTTTGTAGTTTCAAGGCTCTTTTCAAGAAACTTAGGGAAAAACATGGTAAAATGGAAAAAATCTACATTTTCAGCTCAAAGTCAGACCATCAGAAGTTCAGCCTCAAATTAAGACTTTCTCATCGTCTGATCCAGCTCAAATTTGGAGAAATTAAATAGGAGATAACAAGATTTCCATAGCACTTTACATCAGGACAATCCAACGGTGCAATCAAAAGTTATGTGAAGAGAAAGTTGACAAATTCCACCTGCCCCAGAAGACTCAGCCGCGGCAAAAGTGCATTTCACCTGCCTTGGAGGACTCTCACCCGCGGTGGACCTATGGCGAGCCACAATGCCCAACATCAAAGCCCGTTTTGTCATTTCTCTTCAGAGAAGCCCTAACTAAGACCTGGAAGACCTTATGACCTATAAATACATTTCTTAGTAGACCTAATCGGGTGTGTGCTCATGTGATGAGTTTTTGAGCCACCAAACATTGTTTTCTTAGGGTTAGGCAATGGAGATGGGATTTTTTTCCCTGAACCATTGTTCTTTCTCCTTTTTATCTATTTAGCTTTTCCATTCCATTTTTCTGCATTTTTCATGTCTTTTATCATTTCCTACATTATATTAGATTAGTCCCAGAGAGTCAAGTTTCTAAAGAGTATCGACGAGGTACATGTTCGATTAAGATTTCTAGAGTTCTAAGCCATATTCTAGATCTTTTACTTCTAAGTTGTTTATACTGCATGAGGTTAGATTCATGACCTGATCTCTGAGCCTAGGATCGATCAGAGCCACGAGAGTGCTGTATCAGATCATCCGTACCTAGCTTCAAAAGAACATAGTCGCTACAGGAGTCGAAAGTTACCTGTAGAAGAAGATGTGAGCAAACGAATTTAGTTGTGATTGCATGCTTTTTTTCACGGTATGAGAGCGAGAGTTTATTGTCGTATTAATCGATTAGTTGGTTAAGGTGACGAGAGTTGGTTAGCCATAGATATGCATATTCTATTTCAATGAAGATACTGGAAATAGACAAGGATAAATCGCCCGGAGACTAATTGGAATTGCTTAGACATCGACTAGGGTAAACCGGAGAAGTCTAAGTCGTCCCTTATGAGTTTAGATCCTTAGTTTGAGTCGAACATCTTTTAGGGTTTTTTTAGCAACTCATTTACATTGCATTTAGTTTCCCGTAAATATTAGGTTAGGATTAGTTTAGGTCCCGTAAACCAAAAACCCCAAAAGCCCCCATGAGTTTATGACTTCGCTTACTATCCCAGTTTGAAGTTTTTTGTAGATTAGACATCTTTCATGTGGATCGACACCCTAAGTCCTGCAACATACATCTATGAACTTTCAGACATTAGGGTTTTATAAATTTAAAACTCTAGACCAACGAGCCTGCAAAGACCTGCGACCCCGATGCCCATCACTTAGTTTATTTAATTCAGTGACAACCAAAACCCCTTTTAATCTTATTAGGTCTACAATTGTCTTTAGAATCAATTAGAAAACCTCAACACAAAAATCCTTGTGGATTCGATCTCTAAGTATTATTATGTTGGCTGTGCACTTGCAACTTGTTTAGGGTAAAACATGTAGTTGCCCACTGCACCCACATCACTACACGCCTTAGAAAAATGGTCGTGTGAAAAAAAAAACATCGTCATATTCTGAATGTGGCACATTTTTTGCTGTTTCAAGAAATTTTACTGGTCAAATTGTTGGGTGATGCGGTTTTAACAGCAGCTCATGTTATTAATTGCACTCCTAATTTTATTCATAAGGGCAGGTCTCCCTATGAATTTTTTTTTGGTGAAAAGCCAAACTATGGTCAGCTGTGAGTATTTCATCTTGTTACACACATCTTAAGTCTCGCGACAAATATAAATTTGGCATTCGTAGTAGATATTGCATCTTCGTTGGTTATCCTTTCGGTAAAAAACGTTGGCGCATACATATGATCTTGAGACGGGAGAGTTTGTTATCTCTCATCATGTTGTTTTTCAGGAAAATGTTTTTCCGTTTAGCACTATGCAAGCAGAAGAGTTCCTGGTGAATCTACATTCTTCCTTTGCGCTTGATTATGTTGATGATGATTGGATTTTAGAACCTGTTTGGACGACTGGGGGAGTTCTATTTTGTCTTCTCCAGATGTGACGATCGACACACCAGAACCTGTGTCGATTGACACACCAGAACCTGTGTAGATCGACATGCCAGAATCTGTGTCAGCCGACACACCAGAATAAATGATCGACACAAATGATCCTTTATCTGAAACTGCTGCAATCATTGATCCGGTTGCTTCTGTTTTGGGTTGGGGACAATGACAAACAACACGCCCCAAGAAACTTTCAGATTTTGTCTCTACAACACCAGTCTCTTTAATAATATACATCCTATTTTCTTTGACTCATCAGTGGTGTTGAACCGAAAAGTTATGAGGAAGCT